GTCATGTGCAAGTCATGTCTCATTTATTCTTCAATCATTTTGATGGGTAAAGTTTCAGAATGCTAAGAATTAATGTGTTTATCAAAGTACCAATAGCTCAGAGCAGTTTTATTATGATGAGGGAGCATGATAGAGTACAGTACTGGGGAGAGCATGTCAATGGACGAAATCAGACTCAGATGGAGCATGTACTATACAGTAACTGACATGGCATATTGACAAGCCAGTGGTGTAATGTTGTCATTACTTGCATTGACTTTTGCTTTGAGTTTACTTTCTGTCCAAATATCACCTTCCACCACACATGTGTGCCCTCACCCACAGAGCAGTTTGCAGAAACCACTTTTATCATTTGGGTCACATGTTCAAGCATAAGCACTTCAGGCTAACTGATGAAGTTGTTTGTGATCATGAAGCTAATAATAGCATAAATTTAAAATGAATAAATACCATGAGCAATGGAAACCCCACCCCCCAGCCTTCAGGAAACATTCAAGGTTCAGTTCTCATAACGCAGTGTGGAAAATAAACTTGATAATTTAAAAATACTCAGCAGGTCAGCTTCCGTTAGCTGCAATGTCACCAGAAGCCAGACAACGGAATATTATAAAGAGCTAAACTCAGAAAATGAGTAAGAACAAAAGACTAATAAAAGTTTTTGACAAATATCCTACAGCATCTTCACCTGTCGTGAAAGCTTCATAAGTTTTATATTTCCAAATATAGAGGAATGGGAACACATTCTAACTTAAGTTGGAATGAGAGGTAATCACAATGCCATGATTAGCTAACACAGAGCTCCTTGCTCCTTAGGGAGAACTGCAAAGGACTTGGGGGCCAGTCAGCTCTTGATAACTCAAAGCACTGAAGGCAAACTTAAACATTAAGTGAGAATTTCAAAAGATTTAACAAATGGAGATTATAGCAGGGCTTCCTAATAATCCAAGTGGCCTGAAAATGAGATGGGCCCCCATACAGAAGGGGGCAAAACTGTTAAGAAAACAAGGTGACCTGCTGGTTGAAGTGATATGCTGTGATTTGAAGTGATCATCTGTGGTGATACATTGTGTATCCTAATAAAATTTTCCTGAAGATCAGAGAACAGAACAAGGCACTAGATTAGACATAGAGGTCAGGCAGTGGTGGCACATACCTTTAATCCTAGCACTCAGGAGGCAGAGATCCATATGGATCTCTGTGAGTTCAAAGCCACCATGGACTACATGAGATTGATTCAGTCTAGGCGAGAAACAGAGCCAGGCAGTGGTGACACACACCTTTACTCCCAGTACTTAGGAAGCACACACCCTTAATGGCTAGGCAGAGAAAGGTATATAAGGTGTGAGGAGACAAGAACTAAAGGCTTTTCTAGGGGAGTCCTAGAAGTAAGACATGGCAGTGGTTTGTTTCCTTGTCTCCCTGATCTTTCAGTGTTTACCCCAATATCTGGCTCCAGGTTTTTATTCTAAGATGCTTAGAGATTTGTACAATAACCACCCTTTATGCGTCACTGTATCACTGAATATGCCAGCAGAGAATCAACTTCCCCTTGTCTCTTAGGAGCCCAGCTGGTCTTTGCAATGTATGTGAGTTGACTGAGCATCCCTCCTGCTTTGGGGTGGAGACTCTAAATCATTTCTACTGTGTAACAGTAAAGAGCTCAGAAGGAACTCGTATTCTTAAAAGGCTTAGCTCATTGCTGATTCAGAACACTAGCCATACCTTTAGAAAATATATCTGAAGCTGAATTATGACCCTTTCAGCTTCAGCAACCATCTTGTTGAAGGCTCAACTTTACGCAAGATGCTTTTCTCTCTCCTTCTGTTCCTAGGCTGCACTTCTGTTCAACTTGCTAACTTAAAGACAAAGGTAAGAAATGTGTAATTAAAATGAAGGGTAAGTTTAATCAATTAGTTAGGAAGTGATTGAATCACTAAAGACTTCTTTGGTATGTATTCAAGACTTGCTCAGTACTCTTTGACTTCAAAATACATTCACTTCAGGAAAATGCATGGTATAAAGCAACAGGCCAACTGTATAACACACTATTTACAAATGAGAATAGAATATATATTAGAGAGAGTGATGAAATGAAATATGAAGAGTGAATAATGAATAGATGGGGAAAATTAATTATTTCTTAAAGTCAGAAGCTGGGAAGCAATACTAAAATTAGATTTATTTACATACAAATGAAAAAGGTAAATTAATGCAAATATAGTTTACCATCAAGACGGGAGAGAATGCTCAGTGGTTAAGAAAACTTGCTGCCTTTGCGGATAACCAGAATTTGATTCACAACCCTCATGTGGTGCGTTACAACTTTCTGTAACTCTAGTTCCAGGACATGCTACACCCTCTTTAGGTCAAGGTGGGCAATGAACATACTAAGTGCACAGACATACATTTGGGGAAAACATTACCATACATAAGATAAACCAAATCTTAGCAAAGCAATTAAAACATATATTTGAAGCAATGGAACACATGAGAAAGCACAGAAAAAAGGGTGTCTAATTGTTTAGGCTGGGAAGTTATGTTCATTTTGGAAAGCAATGGGACAGACTTGCAGTCCTCCTGACCCTATCCCCAACAAGGACAAGCTGCAGACTTGTTCTTTTTTGGGACAGGGTCAGGAGGACTGCAAAGACACTCATTAGAATACTGGGAAGCAGGTCAATCTTAGGAAGTCTACCCACACAGTTCTTTGAAGATTGGGTGGGACTCAGGACCAATAGTGAGAAAGAACACCACTGTCACCTCAAAACCAGCAGTCACTAGGAGAGAAAGTCACAGTCCCCAAGGACCTGCTGTCAGAAAACATGAACACTCCATGCCTTGTAAGGAGTATTTTATGCTGTGAGTGTTAATTTCATGATAGCTTTCTATCAAATTTATCTATGCAAGAAGTAAATTCTAGAAACAAAGGAACATGTTGGAAATCAGATTTCAAATTTCACAGGGGAAATGCTAAGGGCCTTTTGAGATCATTCAACATTGAAAAGTGGCAGAGTTGGACCCTGCATGAAGTGTTTTCTGTTAGCAAGGACCTTCTGAAGGTAGCATGTCACTCTCCCAAAAGACTGACCATTCACATCCTGTGAATTCTCTTTTCTAGATCTACTATTATTCCATTTCAACTTTTCAAAAGACTGTTTCATTACCTTTGCTCATAACAACAGCCCTGTCAGACCAACATATTTATAGCATTTAGAAGCTCATTCCCATCATGCTTACCTTCAGTGAAGAGAGAGAGATACACACAAAAGGCCTCCCACAGCATGCTGCCATTGCTTTTGGTAGATGGCTCAGGCTGTGTGACAAAAGTATACCCTAGAAGAGGTTGCATTCAGAAGAGCCTGTCAGTGCCACTAAGAGAGGCAAGGAGAGAAGGTGCTGGAACAATTAAAGACAGCTATACTGAACAACGGCAGCTAAAGTATTTTTAAAAAGTCAAGAAATATAATAAAGCCCACTGCTGTTCTTAATCCACATTTCCTCATCCTTTTGGTCAGCCATTTAAAGGAAACCATTTAAAAGCATTCTATACCCAACAGTACTCTTTTGGGGAAAGTTGGGAAATGAAAGTCTCAAACCAAGTGTGAGATAGTGCACAATTTCTAATCACCAGCCCCAGTGAATGGAAATGGCATTTAAAACCAAGAGACTTGCACATGTTGTATTAGGAATAACTGATGTCAGATAGTGTAACATAGAAGCAGTGCATAGCAAATACATTCCCTGTTGAAAAAATTAATGTCTGTGTTGGACAAACTCAATAAGACTCATGAGAAACTGCTGTATCCAAAGGTAGCTGCATCTCAGATGTAGCTTAGTGGATTGGACTTGGATTACTTTGTTCCTTTGCATCTTTTATTTACTGACAGCACTATTACCACCCAGTTAATTTTGGTGGGAGCTGTTGTTAATTCTGCACAGAATGCAGCAGCTATGTTATTCGAAATCGTCTTTTGCTGATCAGGTAGCCAATCTGCTATGCTGGTTCTATAGTCAAAGGAAATCCATGCAAACCAAGGTGGATGCTAAGCCAGTGATGGGCTTTGGTGGTAAAAATGTTCAATATGGCTTCCCAGATCTGACTAAGTGCAGCACTCTGGCAAGAGAGGATGGTATCAGGGAAGTCATGCTTGAAGAAAGGGAAATTGCTACCTTTTCCACTAGAGGCTTCAAGGAGCTTAAGTCTGTTATAAAAAATGAAGTCATTAAATAAAAGTTTCATTAAAATGACTCACAGAACTGCAGTTTGCTTACAAAAAAATCACTTTATGTTTAATGATGTAAATAGATTAAATAGAGTATGAATATATATATATATATATATATATATATATATATATATATCAAGCTATATCGATTTCAGATAGACACAGATTTTGTAGCAAAGAAAGTTACTAAAATAGGACATACAACTTTAACATAGAAGTAAAAACTGAGAGAGATGATAATTACAGCTGCATGTTTAGCAACTGTAGTGTGTGTGTGTATGTGTGTGTCTGTGTGTGTGTGTGTGTGTGTGTGTGTGTGTATGTGTGTCTGTGTGCCATTTGTTATGTGTCTGTGAAGGATCTATGCAAGAATTTTGTACTTTCATCTGTCTGGCTAAGTTTAGCATTTATTTGGCACCTATCCAACCTGTTTCCAGTACTTTTCATAAAGAAGACAGTCTTCATAAAGTCTCTTATTTCAAGATTGTATTACTGGTGTTTTATAGCCTTCCAAGTTTAGCTCTGATCATATCTATGAATGATTGTTTTCCTCTCTGCCTTTATTTTCAGGTTACTGGGTTGGTAAATTATTTAAGGTCCTCTAGAGGAACAAAGCTGAGAGAATGGATCTATATTATGAAAGGGATTTACTAGATTGTTACATATGATGTACACTGGGTAGTTACAAAGATGGCTGTCTGCACACTGCGGAGACTGAGAACAGAATAGCTGACAGTCCACCAGGCTGGGTGCATTTCTAGTTCAGTCTAGAGGATGCGGGATTCCTGTTGCACCACCATTCTTGGCAGTTTAGAAAACCACCACCCTGTGAAGTTGGGTTCTGATGCCAAGAAAGGATGGCAGACACATAAGCAGCAACAGAGTAGGTGTACTTACCAACAAACAGAAAAGGAAGGCAGGCAAAAAGAAAATGTTTTCCCCTCAGAGTTCTTTACATCGGATCTTTCATGGAAAAGTGCTCCCTGTTCTTGCTGGAAATGCCCTCACAGACCTACCTAGAGATGTCTATTAATGGATCAAAGATCCAGTTAAGTTGACAACCATGCTTAAGCATTGTAGTCAGAATTCCTTTGTTAGAAACCTCCAAATAATTCTGGGGCTGAGAAGCACAGTTGAATGCAATTTGCTTGAGTTTATATTGCAGAAATTTCACTTGGTGCTTTCAGATACCAATGATCTTCATTATTTGGACTAAATGATAAAAAAAAATAGCTGAAGACAAAGTGTGACAATCCCTTGAGAAACTGTCTTTATGTTACCTTGCCCCAACTTAATTCCCCATTCTCCTTGCTGTGATTAAAGTATGTTAGAATTCCATTTGATTTAAATAATTAAATAAAATATATATTACACACACACATATACACACACACACACACGTGTGTGTGTGTGTGTGTGTGTGTGTGTGTGTATTTATCTCACTATAGAGTTTCTACACAAATATGGGAAGTTTATATATACATTTTATTCTTTTGTGGCTCTGTCTGCATCCTTTTTGATCAACTCCTTGTGAGGTAGAAACTTAATTTCTGCTGCCATGAGAGTGTCTGGCTCCCTTTCTTCTCTTTGGAAAGGTATTCCAAGTCATTTCTTCTTTAGGTAACATGGATCATTTCATGGAGAACTAGAGTAGGTAAGACTTTATAAACAGAATCTTAATGTGCATCTCAGAAATTGAGGCTTTTGGATAGAACAGACTACAAATGTTTCCAACACCTGTGGAATAAATTAAAACTAAAATGAGTTCTTATTTTAATATGTTTGTGTAAATTAAAGAAGTATTTATTGAGTTTGTGTTCATGAACATCTCCCCACCACTTCTATAATGGAAAATGGGAATTAGTATATTTTTTCTAAATGACTAATTTAACTAGGAAATATCAACTTTCTTCTTTCTCCATACATTTCTTGTATTTTTGAGATGTAGGTAAACATGAAAAACAACATGACTTGCTGTATCCTTAGTTGACATGAAACTTAAGTATGTTTGTGATAAAGACCATTTAACAGACTGTCAGGAATTAATAAGGAAGTTGGTAAGTACAGGGATTCACACCACCTTTTGCATGGCATAAGTGGTTATCTTCATCCTTGCTTAAGAGTTGAAAAAGTCATGGCATGAATGGATTAAATAACTCATCCTGTAACAGAAAATATCTACAACAAAGACTTTACATAAATGAGTGCATTGTCCAGCTTCCCATGGAACTGGACCAGGCCCTCTGGATAAGTGAGACAGTTGATTAGCGTGAAGTGTTCAGGAGACTCCCAGGCAGCAGAACTGGGACCTGTCCTTGGTGCATGAGCTGGCTTTTTGGAACCTAGGGGCTATGCTGAGACACTTTGCTCAGCCTTGGTATAGGGAGAAGGGGACTGGACCTGCCTCATCTGAATCTAGGATGGGCTGATTCCCCAGGAGAGACCTTGCCTTGGAGAAGGTGTGAATGGGGGGTAGATTTGGGAGGAAGGCTGGGGAATGGGAGGAGGGAGGACAGGGGAATCCGTGGCTGATATATAAAATTAAATTAATTATAAAATAAAATTATTTTTTTTAAAAAATTAACATTTTCTAAAAGTAAAAGTACTAATTCTGTGAGGATGAAGAAGTAGTGAACAGAAAAAAATAACACTGGAAATCTAGTAAGAAGTCCATTTTTTTTTTTTTTGGCTGTTTAAACCCTGAAAGGTGGCAGTCACAAACTTATGCTGCTATTTATCCTAGGAACCCTAAAAGGAGGTGACCTCAAGACTTGATCACTTTTTAAGTCAGACTCAAAAGAGGAATACTGAAGTTAGATGGCCACGAGTAAGCTCCAGAAGACTTCCTGAGAGTGGAGTTAGTCTTCTTCATGTTCTTTCTTTCCCCATAGGCTCAAATCTGAAGGATGTCCACATGGACTTAGTTGTCACAGATGCAGCTGCTTTCACGCCCACACTCCATGGAACACCATGGTAACATACAGCCTCAACTTAGTCTTCCCTTTCTACTCCCTTGGAACCTAGAAATCTCTGTCTAGTTCAATTATAATTTAGAGAGACCCGCCCTTATGAGATGAAGAGAATATGAAAACCATTTACATTTTACTTAAGGGCAGCTTTAATATTTGTTACAGCTAATCATATTGCTAGCAATCATTTATCAAAAAAATATAGGCCAAGACATAATTTGGCATGAAATCAAATGAGGGAAACTCATTATAATCTTTTGATCTGCCAGCACCAGTGAACATTGAATTATTCATCAGCAGTTTATCATATTTAACTTTCCATATTACTATTGTCACTTTTGGTTGTTTTGTTTCAATTTTGCAAAAGAGTTATATATTCTTAATGAGATTCTCTAGCTATCTAATTGTAAGTTTAATGTGGAGCTTTGATTACCTAAATTAGTACAACATACCTTAGCTGTCACTATGCCATGTGTCTACATTAAAGACTATTTGCATAGTATTGTAAGAAGTAAATAAAAAGTATCTACTGTATATTCATTTTAAGGCTATTTTTTTGATGAAGGAGTCAATGGAGATGAAAATTAATCTTACAGCTTCACAGACAACAGAATCTGCTTTGGGTTTTCTGATTTAGAAACCAGGGACAATGCTGCCCTAAACTGCACCATTCTCAATGACTGGACTGCTTTTCATAAATGTAAAAACTGAGAATTAGCAAACCAAGTGCATTGTAGGGATGAGCTTAGAAGTCTTTTGGTCTATGAAATGTTAGCCTTGCTTCACAGAGACATTTCCTAAGATAAAGAAAATGACCCAGCCAGTGGGATATTTTCACTCTTGTAACCCTGCCTCTTTAGCTGCTGGGATAGCTAGATGATGAGGCTAGACTACCTGTCTTCCCACAAGAAGGAAACAACAACTGGTAAGTGTTAAGAGGCTATATGAACACACAAATGCAGAATTTGAAGGGTATTAATTAACTTGTCCTACATTCTGTGGAGAAAATATAATCCCTGCTCCCTTCAAGACATCATTTCCAGTATGGGAACACAGCCAGGGTTCCCAGCAGCTGTGCTAATCACACCACTATTGGTAGCTGCTATATTCTTAGTGAACAGTCCTTTCTGAACTTTCACTTCCTTCATGAATAAAATAAGTGTAATTACAATAATTACCTGAATAAATGGGCCAAGGAAGAATTAAGGAAGAGTAGGATGAAGTATTCAAATCAAGGCATGGCAAAAGACTTTTACTGTTTAAAATTTAATCCATGAGCTCACTGGGCTCCACTATGGTGGTATTTTATTTGTACTGAAATGTGATTTTAATTGTATGTTAATAAATAAAGTTGCCCTGGGGTCAGAGCTATTAGAGCCATAGCAAGAGCGTGGTGGTGGTGGCAGCGGCGGCAGTGGCGGCGGTGGCGGCGACAGCAGCAGCAGCAGCAGCAGCAGCAGCAGCGGCGGCGGCGGCGCACGCCTTTAATCCTAGCACTTGGTAGAAGAACTAGGTAGATTTCTGTGTGTTCAGGGATACAGCCAGCATTGGAGACAAACGCCTTTAAGACCTGGGGGCGGTACTTACAGGTAATGACGAGGCAGTCATGTGTTTGGGTTTACAACCAATGAGAAGGAGAACAGAAAGACTATTTAAAGACAGACACACAGGAAGTAGCTTCTTTCGGGGAAGCTAGGAGCACTGCAGGAGGTAAGATTTTAGCTCTGAGCTCTGACCTCTCGGCTTTCTCTTTTACATTGGTTCTATGTTTCTTATTTTAATAAGACGGTTGGTTACATCTACACTCCACCTTAGACAAAGAACTACAGGCAGCTTGGAACTGCTAAGAGCTGGAGAAATGGCCAGCCACAGGGTAGAGACTCCAAATTACATCAGCCCAGAGCTCATATATATGAAGTTGACATTACATGGACTAAAGAAGTTGTGTTTATGTATTTATAAATATATTACAACAATAGAAGAAAAAGAGCCTACTAATTTGAGAGTGAATAAGGTGGAAAGGGTTGGAGTGAGGAAAGGGAAGGTAGGGATAATATAATTATAATTTACAAATGTAAAATCCTATAAGCATATCTTTTAATGTAATGGTGCCTATAGACATTTCTGATGCTCTACTTGGAGGAATATGAGGAATTGAGCAGCTGACATTATATCAAGCCACAGATAAACCTGACTCTCTACATGTCCTTGCCAATGCAACCATATGAAATCACTGAACTTTAACTGACATTTTTTTTTTTCTGAATATAGTAACCATGAAAAGTTTCCTGGGAAAATTCTTATCCACCCAGAGATGAGGCATAGAAACTGCAGACCTAGGTATGTCTAAATAAATCAAAAGCAAACTGGAGAAACAACATAATGAGAACTCTTGTTCTAAAATGAGTGAAGACAACTTGGGAAGTTTCCATAAGGCACTAAAAGGGCCGAGAAGATTCTCATTGAGGCAGAAGAACTGTTTGAGATAAACAATAACTTCAAAACTACCCAAGAGCCTGAAAATAATTAAAACTAGCTCTTTGAAGTAAAACCCAGCCAAGTGAGGAAATAGCACACAAATCATTAACTTTTAATTTCATTTTAAAGTTATGTATCATTTATTCATGGCATTAGGGAACTGTTCTACAAAAGAAATATTAATTTCTCTTGATTTAATATATAATTCAACTTCTTTTGCATAATTACATCCCATTAATTTCCATCTATAAGAAATATTAGGACTTCAAAACAGAAATTTCACTGCAATGCTAATATTTGATACCTCAAAAGAATCCCTCAGCAAATAACCAAATTAACTGCACTATTAATTCATTTTACAGCAATCATTTCTTATTTTAGCCAGACCACTTATTTTTCATAGATTCACTCAGGAAGTTAATTCTCCATGATTCATTGGAAAAGTAAATATTCTTCCAGATTGTCCAGTTGACCTGCTGGCATGCAATAATTTTGCAGCTTCTAATTTCTCTACTGTCAATTATTTTATAAAAGCAATTTTAAATTGTTTATCAGACAGAAAGTGTTTACACACACACACACACACACACACACACACACACACACATATATATATATATCCCTCCATTTTTTCACTCATTACCTAAACCCAAAATATATCATATATCATAATAATCTTGGAACCACAAGATGCAGATATCAGATCAAATAGTCCCAACATAAACTAACTTCTGAGTGTTCTAAAATACAGATGTGCTGTGAAAGAATATTTGTAGTTATGTCTTATTACAATTAGAAAAATAAGAAAGGGAAACTGTTCATCTTTATGTTAAGCAGAAGTCTATATAGTTCACTTATTTCTTACTTGAAAATCTTTAGTGAATGCCAGATTTTTAAATACAATTGTCATTAGCAAAGAAGGGGCCTGTGAATTATTTGAAATCCAAGTCTTTGGCTGAATTTTTCTCCTCTAGTCTTCAACACAGAAAAAGAGAAAAAGAAAAACAAAGTGCACAGCATGGGAAAATAGACAAATGAGTGAAAGAAGGAAGGAAGAAAAAGACCCAAGATGATTGTAAGCATGGCTCAAGGCAGGAAATAGACTTATCTCCAACTCAGTTTTTGTTTTTAAGAAAAATCATGCCCTTAACCTTATTTTTCCTCCTTGATTTAACTGAATTAATACTATTCCACACATAGGCTTCTTGTGGGAACTGGCCTACATGGAATACTAGTATATTAGAATACATCATATGGGCCTCAGTCCTGAAGGATGCCACTTCCTCTTGACAACTTCAATGAAGCAGTCAAAATCAAGCTGTTCAACTGTCCTTGTGGTATGATTGAGAATCCCTCAGATATATGCCCAAGAGTGGTATCATTGGGTCTTGAGGTAGACTGATTCCAAATTTTCTGAGAAACCACCAAAGTGGCTGTACAAGTTTGCACTCCCACCAACAGTGTAGGAGTGTTCCCCTTACTCCACATCCACTCCAACATAAGCAGTCCACAGTGTTTTTGAACTTAGCCATTGTGACAGGTGTAAGATGGTATCTCAGAGTCATTTTGATTTGCATTTCCCTGATTACTAGGGATGTTGAGCAATTCCTTAAATGTCTTTCAGTCATTTGAGATTCTTCCACTGAGAATTCTCTGTTTAGATCTGTAGCCCCCCTTTTAATTGGATTGTTTGGTATTTTGATGTCTAGTTTCTTGAGTTCTTTATATATTTTAGAAATCAGCCCTCTGTGGGGTTGGTGAAGATCTTTTCCCATTCTGTAGGCTGTCGTTTTGTTTTATTTACCACGTCCTTTGCCTTACAGAAGCTTCTTAATTTCGGAACGTCCCATTTATTAATTGTTGCTCTCAGTGTCTGTGTTACTGGTGTTATATTTAGGAAGTGGTCTCTTGTGCCAATGCACTCTAGGGTACTTCCTACTTTCCCTTCTATCAGATTCAGTGTAACTGGATTTATGTTGAGGTCTTTGATCCACTTGGACTTGCGTTGTGTGCATGGCATTCGATAAGGATCTATTTGTAATCATCTACATGTTGATATCCAGTTATGCCAGCACTATGTTCATAACAACATTATTCATAGTAGCCAGAACATAGAAACAACCTAGATGCTCCTTAACTGAAGAACAAGTAAAGAAAATGTGGTACATATATACAATGGATTATTATTCAGCGGTAAAAAAATAAACAAACAAAAAAACAAAACAAAACAAAAAATGATGTCATAAAATTTGCAGGTAAATGGATGGAACTAGAAAATATCATCCTGAGTGAGACAACCCAAACTCAGAAAGATAAACATGTTATGTACTCACTCATAAGTGGATAGTAGATGTAAAGCAGAGCATAATCAGGCTACAATCCACAGCCCCAGAGAAGCTAGCTAACAAGGAGGACCCTAAGCGGGATGCATGGATTGTCCTGGGAAGTGGATATAGATGAGATCTCCTTAGTAAAAGGGGGGACAAATGGTGGGATGGCAGCAGAGGGGATGAGGGATGAGAACAT